TAATATTCCAATATATAATACTTCTAATATACAGAATGAGGAGAAGGCTGATATAAACAATGAGAATGAAGAAAGTGAGTCAAATAAATGTGTTATAGCAATGAACTATTTTGCTTATCATCTTCAGATTGGTCACGCTGGTAAAGCATTAACTTTACATCAGTATGGGCGCCTCTTCTAACAGTGGATTGTTAATATGTATGCAGTAATAGAGCAGACACACCTTAATTATCTAAGATATTACCAATCAGAATTGCATGCAGAGTTATATTGTGAACTTCAAGATGCTTTAAAATCAAGAGATAGTATAACAAACATAGAACAACAAATTATATTACTATCAAGTTTTACAGGTGGGTCTTGACAAATGCATAAGTTGTACTAGGATAGAATAGCAATTGTATGTGCTTTCAGAAAACCCAACCTATTCATTATAGTGACTTGCAACTCGAACTGGCACGAGATTAAAAATGCGCTCCTTCCAGAACAAACTGTGCAAGATCATCCCAATCTAATTAGCCGTATTTTCAACATGAAGTTAAAAGCAATACTAAATGATATTTTGAAAATAAATATTTTTGGAACAGTGGTAGCCTATCTTTATACAATAGAATTCCAAAAATGTGGGCTTTCACATGCTCATATTCTTCTTATTCTTGCTTAAGAGTATAAGCCAAAAACCGTTGCAGACTATGATACAATAGTATCTGCAGAAATTTCTAATATAATCAGTGACCTAGATACATTTGCCACTGTGCAATGATCGATGATACACAGTCTATATGGTACGATCATACCAAATGTACCATGTATGAAGAACAAACAATGTACTAAAGGATATCCACAAGGATTTCAGGAAAATACTACAGAAAATAAAAGCAGTTATCCTGTCTATAGGCAGAGGAGTCACGGTCTGACTGTAAATATAAAAAGAGAAGGAAAAACATTTCAATTGGACAACTATTGGGTGGTACTATATAATCCATATCTCGCAACTAAATATGATTGCCACATCAACGTAGAGATTTGTTCCTCAATTATCACTATAAAGTATCTCTTTAAATATGTATACAAGGCTATGATCATGCAATTGTAGAAATTGGAAGGAATATATATAAGCAAGGACAAATGGATGATGAAATACGGCTCTTCTTTGATACTCGCTATATTTCAGCATCAGAAGCATTATAGAGAATATTTCACTACCGTCTGCATAAATAAAAAGCCAGACATAATGCAGTTACATATTCATCTTTCAGGGAAACATAGAGTGGTTTTTAGAGATGATGAGCCTTTGAAAGATATAATCAATTGTTCCAGTACTGAGAAGACAACTCTCATAGCTTGGTTCAAGGCCAATGCAATTTATTCAGAAGCAAGAGGGCTTATCTATGCAGACTTTTCAACTCAGTGGGTATATGATAAGCAGACCAAAAAATAGAAACCGAGACAAAAAGATTAGAGACAAATATTTTAATATATACTATTACTTATATTACTTAATATTGCATCTATTTTTTTACGTATTAAGTAATTAAGTTAAAAAAAAAGGTTTACAAATATGTTACTAATTAGCAAAAATTTAAATATCAGAATTATACCTTTCAAGGGTTATAGTATAATTTCTTGAAAGTTATTTACCCAAAAGATCACTTACCCGATATCACAAGGGTGACAAATTGCTAAAAATATATCTGCAGCTAATCAAATGCTAACCCTAACCCTATATTATGTCGGGTAAGTAGCCTATCAGGTAAATAGCTTTCAGGAAATTGAGCAACAACCCTTTCAAGTTACATTTGTGAATCGTAATGGTCGTAATAAATATTAATTAAATAACAATATATAGTCAGATCTCTCTATAGTCACATCTTATATAATTATACCTCTATATAAGCACCTAATTTTGTAAAACAAATTATTAAAAAAATATAGAAAAAACCTCTATATATAAATAATCTTTTTATAAACATATTTTTAAAAAAAGGTTACTATTACTCGATTGTGTGATTATAGAGAGGGTTAACTATATTAAAATAGTTAAGGGTTAAAGAAAGATATTGCTTACATAAATTATTATATTGCCCATCTCTAAAAAAGATAATACTATCGGTCGTATATACTTTATTCATCCTGTAGCAGGCGAACGATATTATCTATGAATACTGCTAAATATGATTCATGGAGTAACTTCTTTTAAAAATCTCCGCACAGTAGAAAGAATAACCTATAGCACTTTCAAAGAAGCATGTATAGTATTAGGCTTATTGCAAGATAATGAAGAATAGGATCGATGCTTAGCAGAAGCTAAACAAATACAATCAGGAGCACAATTACGTTATTTGTTCGCAACTCTACTGATATTCTGCAACCTGACTAGACCTGAAATACTTGGGAAAACCACATTTCAGCACTCAGTTATGATATTCTTTTTCAAGTTCGCCATAATATAGAAAATATGACGCTTGAGCTTACAGATACTGATATAAACAATAGGGAACTTCATCATCTACAAACTATCTTAAACAGATATGAAAGACATCTTGATGAATTTTTAAACATGCCTCTCTCTACTGCTTTTCTTAATAATGAACAAATTAATCATTTGATAAGTAAAGAACAACAATATAATGTAGAAGAACTTACTAACCTTATTGAAAATAATCTTTATCAGCAAAATTTTTAAGCAGATTTCTATCGATATATAGCAGTTAATCGATATATATCGATTAAAAATTATCGATATATATCGATTAATTGCTATATATCGATATATATCACTAACGATATACAGTCGGACCTCTCTAAATGCAACCTCCCTAAATACATACATATGAAAAACCTCTCTAAATGCATATCTTTTCTTGGGCCCAACTAATATAACACTTATAGATTTTTACCTC